TTTAATGTATTAAACGTCTTTGCCAGATTTTCAGGTCTTAAAGTTAACATTGAAAAAACGCGTCTCATATGGATTGGATCCAAAAAACGCTCAAGAATGAAATTATGCCCCCAACTTAATCTCAATTGGGACCAAAGTGACTTTGACCTTCTAGGAATTACATTTACCCAGGATCTTGATGATATGATAGTAACAAATTATACAGAAAAGATTAGAATATGTGAACGGTTAATGTCTATTTGGTCAGCCCGCAACCTTACTCCCCTTGGCAGAAACACGATTTTAAAATCGTTAATTATTCCTAAGCTACATCACTTTTCAGTTCACTACCAAATCCAAACACTGATGTTGTTAATGCATTTCAAAGAAATTGTTTTAAGTTTATCTGGAAAAATAGGCCTGACACAATTAAGAGAAACCAAATCATTTCTGAAAAAAAGGATGGAGGGTTCAATGTCCCTAACATTAAAGCAACAATCCAGGCTAAAAAAATATCAATGATAAGACGCTTTCTTACTTCGAAATCCAAGTGGAGTTATCTATTTAATCTTAATCTTCCCAAGTTACCGGTAGGTGCAGGCAATATATTAGAACATATCTGTAACTACTTAAAGGGGAAGTGTACACACAAAAATCACTTTCTTTCTTTTTCTAAACAAAACGCAATTTTAGAATTAATTAGTATCTGTGTTTGAAAATATACACTCATTTTTTTCACAGTGAAAGTAAGAAGCTCACAATAGTGTGAAAATGATATGCCGTTATGAGGCCTTCGTTTTTCGAGCTAAACAGGCCTGAGTTATCCCCGTTAGATTATGACATAATTGGTGCCAATTCAACTGGGTCCCTGTCTATTCTCAACGCAAAAGATATCAAGTACCAGTTTGCGGTAAAACAACATGGCCTACGACACACTCCGGCGCAGTGGTGACTCAGCATAACACTATGCTGGCTGGCATCTGAGACGCTAGAATCACACACCTAGACCTACACCACGTGAAGCGGCTCTAACAAAGCATGATGACGTCATAATGTTTATCAATTGGCACCAATGACGTCATATTGCAAGGGGCATAAGCCATGGTGTATTTGTTGTGGAAATAGAACACTTGGTAAATGTGAAAAATATAAATCGTTTTAATGCAAAAAATATGTTAATTAATTGTGATATTTTTATATGTTTGTCTATGACACTTCTAGGTTAACACTTTTAATGTGGAAAAAGTACAAGAAAAATAGGTTAATTTCCGTGTGAACTTGCCCTTTAAGAAATAAACTACTACCACTTACCCCTAACAATTACTACAAAGATATTTTGACTGCCTGGTGGGACTTAAACGCTCAACTGGAACACAACGCAAATCATTTACTGGCCGATAATATTTGGTTTAACAGTAATATATGTATTGGGCGTAAGCCCGTCATTTATAGCACCTGGAATCAAAAGGGGGTACGTTTCATAAATGACCTCCTTGACAAAGATGGAAAATTTCTGTCGTTTGACAACTTTTCAAAATCTTTCGAGATAAAAACGAACTTCTTACTATATAACGGCCTTATCGTGGCCATAAAACACTATTTCAAGGCAAGTAATGTTGAACTAGAAGAATTGAACAAGTTGCAAAATCCAATTATACCCCCATCGAAAATGTACTTAAATTAACTGTCACTACAAAAAATGTACACTGTAAGAAATGGGAAAAGAATATTCTAACGGATGACTCAATTGATAACTGGTCCCAATACAATAGAATGCCTTTTCGATGTACGAGAGACACTAAACTGCAATGGCTCCAATACAAAATACTTCATCATATACTTCCAACTAATGTTTTCTTGTGTAAATTAGGTTATGTTGAAAGTCGAAATTGCAGTTTTTGTCCAGTTGATATCGAGACCCCAATCCATCTTTTTTGGTCCTGTAATATGGTTCAGCAAATCTGGCATCAACTTGAAGTTTGGCTACTTCAAAAGGCTAACATCCAAATCGAAATTACAAAGAAACATGTGATGATTGGCTTTCCAGAAAAGCGCAATGACCCTCTGAATATCATCTTTTTGATAATAAAAGACCTTATATTTAAAAGTAAGTTAAATAAGAGACTCCCGTCATTTCAAGTCTTTCAGAACGAAATAAGAAACTACTACAACCTTACTAAATGTGCAGCGATTATTGAGTGTGACATTGGCCTATTCTAAAAATTTTGGTCAACATGCCATCATCTATTTAGATGATTATTTAGCTATGTACTGGAATGTCACATTTTATCAAATAAATGTAAAATGATTGGAAAAAATAAAAAATCATAAAAAACAACAACACGGGCTTAGCAAAAAATACACTTGGATTACCGAGAGAATATATATTACCCAACCAAAGAGTGCATGGAGTTAATTGCTCTTTATAGTTCCCTATAAAGAGTTGTGCATCCATCTTGATCAGATCAGTACAAAGGATAATATTCAACTCAAAAGTCTTTCAACTCTGCTAAGAGCTGTTCCAGTCAAAGATGAAAAATTCAATAGCGGTAGAATGGAATCTTTTTCATCATAACAATATCAAAAGTTAAAATGGGGTATCATTTCAGACCTCAAAATTTCGTTATTAGATGTGAAACACCTACCTGTACATATAGGATACTTGAGTGTAATGCTCAATATTATATATAATGGTTGATTCATCAGGCCCTGGAATGCATAATCTTACACAATGTAATACAATTGCGCCTTCCGATCTTGGAGACACAGAAGGATTCGATAAACCCGTTACCGATGGCAAGTTATACGCTTTACACTTACAAGATAATGTATACAAACGGAAAGAAGTTGTATTGACAGCTAATCTAGGAGATTTAAGTGATGTCGACGTTAGTAGACTCAATAAAAACACTTCATGCAATCTTACTCGCAACAATGATAATGAATGGACTATGGGAGAAACAAAAATCGAGTGGCTACAGAATATCATCATTGCTCCACCATATGTGATGATGGGTAAGGCACATCAATTAACTAAGATAATGAATACTGGGATCATACTCGGGGCTTATATCCCCTCAAAACGAAAAAGTGTGTTAGTCTCTCCCCTGCCAGAAAACCCAGGTCATATGTTATTGAGTCGTCCAGCATTAAAAAATGTTAGTTTAAATTTGGTTACTGAATTCAATGACATAAAACAAAACTTGAATGCTATATCTGATCTTTCTACAATTATTATTGAAGTCTTGTTTGGAGATGCACCAGAAGATGCCTTCGAAATGTTACCAGGTCTTTAAATTAAATGGCTCAAGAAACACGAGCATCAACGTTGCAGTATTATTTATATGGGAGTACCACCCGTTGCAACCCTTTAGGGGGTCCAAGTTAATAAAAGTGAAGGCATTTCGCTTACTAAGATATTTATAATAATAAATATAATAATATTATTATAATATACACATATTATACATTTAATAAGGTTGATGTACACTCTCAAACCATTAAAGCAAGATCAATTAAAGACAATTATATGATATACTAATATACATTATGGGTTTATATCCGGTATCTGAACAGTTCTGAACTGTTGATGGATTTCGATTACATCAAATAAGCGACATAAAACATCGAATAGAGGAGAGGGAGTTGAGACTTGGATTGTATAAAAAGTATCCCAGAGCTGTGAATGCTCTCGACGGAGTTGACACTGCACTTGTAACAGCTGGCATGGGACTCGGTGTAGCCGGTTATCAACTATAATCGCCGCGCCTATCGTAGCAGCTGGAGTCTCAGGACTGGCAGGAAAAGCGATAAAATTTATTTCTCGTAAGTTGCAAAAGAAAGCATTAAAACATGGTAATATTTGGATACTCGCCATGAACAGCATTGAGGATCATATTTCAACAGCACTGGCTGATTGTAAGATATCCGAGGATGAGTTTCGTTTAGTGTTGTCAGAACTCCCCAAATACAATGTAATGAAACAGGAGATTCAGTCCAATTCTCGTAAGACCAGTGGTATTAGCTAAGACGAGAAAAAAAAGTTCAAAGTACAGGGGAGACAACAAGCGCGTCAATTATTCCGTGCCAAAACCAAAGAACTGGTTGGAGATTGAAAATAGATTGTTTGATCACATTGAAATGAATGATCACATATGTATATAATAATGGAGAATTACAAGCCAATCAAATGGCGAGAATTACCACAGGGTATATATTATATCAGTGATGTCAAACCAACCAAATACGGTCATCAATTGTTTCTTTCCAATTTCGAAAAAGAGTATACTACAGAGTATGACAATCGTTGAATCGCATCATTATTTTTGCATAAAAAATTACCTCTGTAGTAGCAGTATTGGGTATAAATCTGGCTCCAGTGGAGTTGCGGCAGAACTGTCATTACTTATACTACTTACACTGAAAATGGCAGAAGTGCCCCTTTCCAGAGCAGATCTTGAAAACCGTACAGTATTTCTTCACCAAACTTTGCACATATATAGGTCTAGTGGTAAATTGGTGGCTTTTGAGAGTTTGAGAGATTTAAAAATATTATTTTTCGAGCAAAGACTTTGACTTAGACTGAAAATGGCGGTAGTGCTCGTTTCCGGAGAAGATCTTGAAAACTGTACCATATTTCTTGCCTTGCACGCAACCGGACATGTCATATTGGCAGGGGATATGAGTATTTCATGCTGGTTCATTTTGTGAAAGCAGACAGCTGGCTAGCACATGATAAATGTGTCAAACTAGGTCCTTAGTGCATCAATTTTTGCTTTTATGAATGAAAATTGATCATGACAAGCACACTGAAGAAACAAAAGTCAATAAATCTGGGATTTCATTTTCCTAATTACCACTATATAGATACAATGATACATAGTTCCTGGGCACCATTTTGGTGCCTGGTTAAGTATGGTGCAACAAGGTTTTAATGTCAACATGCACCAAGTGCAAGATATATCTATTTCCTTAAATCAAGCCCTGCATGTATAGGAAGTAATGATGTTGGTGTGTTACAGAGGGCAGAGCTGCTGCAGTCGCTGAAAGATGCCCAGGCTTCATCTGAAGAGGCCAAACTCTTCTCTGGCATTGCTGAAGTGTACACACAGAAATTCAAGAAGTAAGATTGTTTATAAGTTGTTTAAAAGCTGTATTCTTGTGTAGAAAGCATTTAACTTTATCCTGTTTAAACAGTTCATGATGGGTATGTTTATAATTCTTTAGTAGATGTTGGTAGTCATTTTATTCAGTTATGTGGTTTTAAAAAACTGTCAAGATTCTTACAAGGGTAGCCACCTTTCCACACACCACGTGAGTCTCTGTGGAGTACTATAGGCGTATTCAGATCCATGTCTAGGTCATCACAGCGTGCATGTAAGTCACAGCCAATTCATTTCTCACAAGTCCAATCACTTGTCAGTTTTAAACACTGTTAGATCTTGTCTCAGCAGTTTGAACATGTTAATAGCCCAAATAAACTATAGTGTGAACCAAGTGAATAGTTGGTTCCAGAAGTATGCTTCTATAAGCTCCTCATGCAATCATTTATTATTATTGGATTCTAATATGTTGAGTATTTTCAAGAAGTTATTATGATTATCATGATTTTGGTATCTGTGCTTATCACAATCCAGCTCATGGAACATTAGGGACAGACCTGATTAGTTGTATGGATTAAGGAAGGGTGATTATTAATCAATCAATGTGACAGATCTACTGAAGTTCAACCCCTGTAACAATTCTGGTCAAGTGTTTATTCACATACTCTATTTAACACATGTAAGATTCAGTCTTCAGTCAGCCATATTGTAAAAAATATCAAATCTGCCATGTTCATTGCTCTATCTGAGGCAGTCACTGGTATAGGTCTCATCCCGTCTACACATTATATCCTCTACTGATATACATTCATAATAATGGTTGGATGAGCCTCATACTTGTATAGGTATTTACAACAAATCGTAGCTCATTTTTAACTTAACTTTTGGCATGACGGCTCGAATTTTGTTGTTAAGACAAGGGACAAGGGATGTTCTTAAGCTATCAGGCATTGCTAGTTGTATGTGAAATGGTGTGCAACAAAACACGATGAGTACTTGTCGTATCTCCACTTGTTTCAATAATCAAAGCACAGCACATGGGGTCTATTCTTGGTGTTGTGTATGGTGTTCCCCCTGCCGGGATATTGCTGGAACATTGCTAAAAGCGGCGTTAACCCATACTCACTCACTCACTCTTGGTGTTGTGTCATTGAACCAGTCAGACAAAGCTTCTGTTGTGAATGTGGCCTGGGTATTTATCCTGACATAATATAATGCTGTTGAGGGTAACTGATCAATCATAGCAATCATATTCAATCATCAGAGCATTACTTGGCATAACTGTTGAGTGTGTGCACCCCCCAGCACTGAATGACAAGTTTCTTACTTGGGCAACTTCCTATTACTTCAGTGATGTAAACATAGAGACGACACCCCAGGGAGAAGTTAAGCTGAACACTGTCAGTGGAAGTGGGAGGAAGACAAAACAGAAGAAGTGTCTGGTAGAGGAAGAAGAGTTATCAGGAAATGAATCTGTGTCATCTGTTAATACTTCTGACATTTCAACCGATGAGGAAGAGGAGCTGACACAGGAAGACACAACAAACAGAGAGGAAGATTCTGGGAATGGGTCGGAGAAAGAAGGTGTGGAATCTACGGTTGAGAAGAAGGCAGAAGTCGGTGGGAAAGCTGCAAGAGTTTGTATTGGTGCAGAGGGTAGGAAGGATGCCCCAGCGGAGACAGAGGACCGGAAGCCTGCAGTGCATGTGCTGCTGTCCAGACAGCCAGAGGTTCAGGTAATGGAGGAACAGTTAGATGAACGTAACTCAAGGAGGCTTGATCATTCTTGATGGTCAGTTGTTTGGTTCCTGTTTACTTTTTTTAAGGAAAATATGACAGACAGGACAAGTATGAAGTTTAGTTTTTTAAGTTTAAAATGTCTTTCCATGTTTGTACTGTAATTGAAATTTGAATATGAATGTATATTGCTAAAATGAACATTGGTAAACATTGGCTAGAAAGATAGAATTTGAGGTTGGGTAAGTTAAGGCGTTTTTTATTATAATTTAAAATATTACCATTATTATTACAAGTGAACGAAGACATGAGAAACTAAAGTGTTAGGACAGATAGACAATAATCACTGACAATGAAGACACCTCGGATCCTTATCATTGTATTCATAATTCATGTTGTCTTCATTCAAGAGATTGTCATTTCCTGTTAATACATGTGTAACTACTAACAAATCCTTTGAAATTTGGTATATTCAGAAATATCTGTAACTATTTAGACAAAGTCATGTTCATGACCATGAGTGCTGTCCTCCTTCTCTCCAGGAAGCAAGGCTGAAGCTCCCCATTTTGTCCGAGGAGCAGGTCGTGATGGAGGCCATCAATGAACATCCTGTGGTCATCATCTGTGGGGAGACGGGTTCTGGTAAGACCACCCAGGTGCCGCAGTTCCTGTACGAGGCAGGATATGCTCAGTGAGTAGATCACAGACCTAAATGACTGTCATGAAATTAATGTGAGTAGACTTCTTTTTTACCTATAAGAGGTAATCTTCCATGAAATTCCTTGATACAGTATGGTGTGATAGCAATTCAAATGAATAATACCATTTGCTCTCTTCACAAACTTAACTTCAACTGCCTGAAATGTGATCTTACTTCCATGAAATCAAAAACAGGAAATGTCAAATAATGCCTGTTCAAATGTGTCACAGATAAAGATTGCAGGGGCTCCAAGTGTTGTTTCGAGAGTTAGTTCAATCCTTTGAAAATAGATGAGCAGCGTCATGTATTCACCCCCTCTGTTGTTATAGGACATTTTCACAACGTGGTTGAGGCCACGTTGATAACTGCTTGACCAACTTAAGTAAACAAACTTGACATGACAATATACTCCAAAATGACCAGATAGAAATGCATCACTTGGGTAATGCTTTCATTTTTCGCATTAATTTCATGCTTACATTAAATTCCTGATTTACGGTAGCCAGGTGCCACAGTTTCTGTACAAGGCAGGCTACGCTCAGTGTGTTGGGGTAGTCGTATATATAAGTATGATTCTGACACTTTCAAACCACTTTCCTCACTTGACTTTTTAACCATGATTGTTTCATCACCTGTGAAAAGCTTGATGACAGAGTTATCTCCCTTATTCTACATCCACTCAATCTGATCGATATTGGCCACAGTGATTCACATCTTCCTATTTCTTTCCAGTGGTGATGGTATCATTGGTGTCACTGAGCCAAGGAGAGTTTCCACAATAAGTATGTCCAAACGTGTTGCCATGGAAATGAATCTCACCTCAAGGTAAGCCTGTCATCAATGATCAGAGATAATTCTGGGAAGGGCCTTTGGGCCATAAATCTGAAAAAGGCCCACATTTTCAAAAGCAGTGGGGCTTTATAACAGAGTATTATATAGGCATCACATGAATTGTTCTAAATTTCACTTATCAGTGCTATTATAAACTACTAAGATCACACATTGGTACAAGGAAAGACAGGCATATTTTAATGTTTAGCCCCTCATTGTCATAATGTTTCTATCCACAGAGAAGTGTCTTACCAGATTCGGTATGAGGGCAATGTTACTGACGACACCGCTATAAAGTTCCAGACTGATGGTGTTCTCTTAAAAGAAGTTCAGAAGGTACATAGAGAAACTGATACATGTATTGGATGTTGGATTGCTTTCTAAATTCTAGAAAGTAAATTTACATTGTATAGCTTCAGATGAACAAATGGGAGATAACATCCTTGGTAAACAAATGGTGAAAAAAAATCACAATACATACAAGGTGAGTGAATTCATGTTTAACTGGATAATTTAATTAAATGGCCATATTTTTAAACTTATCCTATCTCACACTATGCATTTCTCTTTCTTCTTTCGATCCTACGTGGAAACATGTCTGAAATAAAGGTTTCCAGCTTCTAAAGTTAATTCAACGAGACCTCACCTACTGCCTCGAACCAACATGTAGATGCTCACATCTACAGTCACTTCACTCTACCCAGTACGACCATTAAAGGATCAGCGCTCTCCAGATCAGGATCTTCAGTTGGAGAGTTGCCAAACTTGGTACCGCCGAACCTCCCACTCTCAGCACACCTAGAAGCATCCAGACCCCTTGCCGGATCACCATCCTTTGAAGGTTTGTCAGACCTCGGAGGTTCGATGATCATCATCAGATCGGACCCCTGTGTGGAATCAGCTTACACCCGAACCTCCAAGGTGTTTCGGCGGGACTTGAAGGTTCGACAAACCGCTACAGATTGACGTTCATCTTCGGAACTACTCATCCCATGACAGACGATCAGGGAATCATTCATCTTCTCATCATGTTTAACGTAGAGACTATTCTGATTCTTCACGCTTAGATTTGGAGGATGAATGCTACAATGAATATCTTGGACATTCATCTTATTTGACTCGTTCCTCTTCCTCTAGTCATCCGGACTTTCGACCATGATATCATCCCCGGTCCTGTGATTTTCACCAATGACAGGATTATCCCTGATACCCCCACTTCAAACAACACTTCAATCTCATTAAAATCAGACCTAAGTTCTTGCTGCTGCCAAACAAAGATATAAGGACATCCCATTACGGATCATGTCAGAATGACCTTTCGCGAACTTTGACTGACCACTGAAATGACTTACAATCAGCCAATTAGAAAACAGCTTTCTCGAGCTTTATAGCACTTCCATTTATAGACTACGCTTGAAAAATAAGTTGACACAGTTCTCGATTAAAATTTTGAACTGTTTACCCCACGGAAGCCAGAGAAAGACGATAATTTTGACAGAACCAGTCATATGGGCCCTAACTGTCGTTTTGAATAAACTGTGTTAATGTTTCTGAGGTTGCATGGTTAGAAAACACATTCCGACTATCACTTTCATGATCAGGTAAGCCATGCTTTGATTGGTCAGGTGAAAGGTCGATCTGACGTGACCCGTAAATTGAATGTCCTCAGATCTTTGTTTGGCGGCAGCGAGAACTTAGGTCTGATTTTAATGAGATTGTACAACACTTACGCAAATGGTTGGGAACGCTACCCACATTATATGGACTCTTTTCCTCCATGGCATGGATACTCTCACAACAATGCTTTTCTGGACTACTACACCTCTTGAGTCATGACATGTTTCCTCGACACAGGAATAAACTACACCCGTTAGCCACTGTTAGTAGATGTCAGTCTCCTAAAGATAGGCATCATTCTATTTTGCCTACTTGTCGTTCGGGTTCACCTTCTCAACCATCAATTTGATGCCCTCCTGCTATCTCAAGTTATCCCTTCGTCACGGAATGCTGGTGATCTCTCTGCACAACAGATTCCCACTTAGTTAAAATGGTAACAGCGGCATACCTTCCTCAGTCGACAACCACCGTACCAACCTCTGTACCTCCTTCCATGTCAACAGCCACTAGACCTCCTTTTGTGGATCTGCCACCAGAACACCACCGGTCTTCGGATCACTACGTCTCCATGGCTTCTTACTCAGGGAGTTTAGACATAGCCGATCCAGTTACCGTTCTCATCTGGATTGCAGATGAACTGCAACTTTCCAAAACTTTTCTTCGACTGAGGACACCCTATCTTTTTTGGTCAAACATCCAGCTTCCTCCTAGACTAGTCCACCAACTTAGACAAAGCCTTCGGTTCTTTTCGCCGGTTACGTAATCGACTTCAGTCTCCATGCTTTGTTTTGGCTGACGTAGGTACACATGGCTTAGCAATGGTTGCTCCCGAGCTGGACGGTGACATTGCGACCTTAGTGTCCTTTCTCCTGCTCTTTGGTGGACGATAGGGATCTCGTGCACCTCGACAATACACTTTGGAGGACGCTTCCTTTGATTTCTACCATTCTATCAGTGACTGAAGTACTTTCTTCTGCTTTGGTTCAGGCCTTTTCTCCAGAAGAATCCTACATCCGGGGTGCTGTGACCCTTATTCAAGATATGACAGTAGCTGTCCTAGATCTTAGGGGTCACTCAATCACCATACTTTTGGACGTGGTGTTTTGCAACTTTGCCCTTGAGATGACCAATTTAAGAACTGGTTCTATCAACTATCATGGTCTACACCCTCTCTTTATGCGATACACATACAGGAGGTCCGGTTAACTTACTCTGTATTCAACTGGAGGAACAGAGAATAAGTCGGAACACACAAACTTCACTCCTTCTCAACCTGATCACAGAGACGTTCTGAATAACCAATCTACTTCCCTTCGTGACTGCGATCAGGGATGCCAAAGTCAGCAAGGAGATACAGTGGTCGCTCGCTACAACGCTACCAATGGGGTCCAAATAATTGGTGGGCGTTATAGACGATGAGCCGTTTAACCGAGGCCGAGGCGGGGGAGCGCGCTCGGCAAATCTCAAATCATCAATATGTGTTTATCTCACGTCACATCAAAATAGTATATATTTTTATGGACCTAGATCTACCTGTAATATCATTCATTTATTAAATCTGTCACATTTCACAATGTCTGAAATACGTATTCCATTCTAATTTATCATTTTTTATCAATAAATTAAAAAATTATTCACTATTTCCCGCGATGTTATTGAAAATAAAATTCGACAACGGGTCCGCATCGAACATGTCAAAGAGCAAAATAAAGACTATTTTAAGCAAATCTTTAAATATATTATACAAAGTGATAAATAAAATCAACAAAAATATATCTAAAAGTAATCAAACTTACATCTAAGTTATTATTTCCATCGTTTTGTCCGATCTCGTGTAATGGAAGTCAAATGACATCTCGGCTTTCGTCGCCTTGAATTCTCGGCTCGGACACAACATTTAATGCAAAAATATATGCATGAAAAATCTTTGTCACAGCTCGTAACCTAGCACGATACATTCGCAAAGTTCCATATTTTTAATATATATCGTGATTTCCTGCTTAAAACGTTCAGAATAACACGATTTAGCAAAAAATCTTTCGCTAACTTCTGAAATTTATCAAACACGAGCTTGGTATCACAGCTATAATTTGATTGGCTGCCTGAGGTCACGTGCTCAAAATTGACCAATCACGAAACTTGTAGCAGATTTCGGCAAGAAAGCGTCATTAGAAACAAATTTTAATCCAATGAAATCGCTTGTTACAACTACGGAAAAAAAACAGGCGATGTTACGAAAGCGCGATTACGAAATGAATGACCGCCGTGTTGTGACAGCAACTACATGTGTGTGACAGTTTAGCCTTAAATTGGATTGCCCACTAATTAAGATTATAAACTTCGCTTGTGGTTCTCTTTTATTGCATGCATGCGCTTCTAAGATCAAAGGATGTATAGTGTGAAAAGTTAACTAGTTGAACAATCGTATTTCCGGGACTTGCCGCGGATGTTTTCAAACAGATTATTAGAACTCCATTCAGCGATAAACGGTTGATTATGCAATGAGAAGCGTTATGTGCAAATGAACAACGAACAACAATACAATCATGTCTGTGTAAAACTCTCAGTAATAAAAGTGTACATAAATTTGGGGAACCATGTGTTACCGTGCATGGTAACCGAGGCTTTATCGAAGAGCGCAATAGCGAGCGATCACTGTACATCAAACAGACATACCGTCCCCTTCTCAGCACCCAAGGGAAATGCCGACACTGTCGGGAGACACAACCTCAAAGTGACTTGTTGCGACATGAAAACAACTGGATTCTTCCGCTTCCATGCTTCCCAATTTTTTCTTCTCCTGCATAGGCGGAAGATTGAGCATCTTTGCTATGAATTGGACCACATGACCCATTTGTGTTTTGTCACCTTCAAACAGGGTATCCTCTACCCATCATGACGACACCGCCGACAATGAACAAACCTTGTCAATATCTATAGACAGAAAAGCAGGTTCCATTCCTCAAAGACTCCATAAGCATGATGCTTGTAAAGAACATCATAGAGTGTCTGGACACATGGCTGATGACACCAGGGTTCTCTATTCCCTAATATTTCTGGTCCCAAAGAAAGACAGTCCTCAACTTCATCTCATTTTCAACATGAAAACTTTCAACAAACTGTACCTAGAGACTCCTTCACACTTTCACATAACATCAATCGCCCTACTAAGAACGATTCTTCATCCCGACAACTTCATGAACAGCCAACATGTACAAGATGCATATTCCCTATTCTTGCAGAGCACTGCCACTTTCTCCGGTTTGTGTTCCTAGGCCAACACCACCAATAGCTTGTGCTTCAAATTCCTACACATTCGAGTTTGAATTGTACTTCAACGATTACATTCAAGCCAACGAGGATTCGAACACTCTTCTTGACACCTTGATTTCACCTACTTCACCAACTAGGTTAGATCATCAACACCTAAAAGTCCGAAACGATTCCTACACAATGTCTTCGGTTCAATGGAGCCCTCGTCGACTGAGCCTGGGCAAGATGTTCGTATCCCAGGATTGTTGGGAGAAGGTTCTCCCATCATATGTCTGTGAAGGAGTCTACTTGCAGCCATTTATCCCGACCCTTCACCTCTTCGTTGACGCCTAAACCGTGGGTTAGGGAGTTTGTTGTCAAGAAGTACAAGTGGCAGGTGCAAAGATCTCTACAGTTGCCGAAGTGCAATCACTGATTAGGTCCTACACAACATCTTCAGTTTAGTGAAGACCTCAAACTTAACCTTCAGGATGACAAATGTCAAGTTCTAACCTCTCTCCCGAACCACCTACATCCACACCTCAGGTGGTGGCTATTGCCATCACATCTCTGTGAAGAAGTCTCCTTGCAGCCATTCACCCCGACCTCCACCTCTTCATCGACACCTCAACTGTGGGTTGGGGAACATCATTGTCAACTACAAGTGGCAGTGGCAAGATTTCAGGGAGGTGCTTCTGGCAGTGTCTCATTGGTCCACACTTATTCATTCCTCCACACTAATGATCCAGTAGGACAACATATTGTCCATGTGGTACATGTACAAGAATGGGTCCACCAAGTCGACTTCACTACTGTCTCCAGCTCTTGAATTTTTCCAGCAGATCGAATCACTCAACATACAGGTTCAAGCAAGACATATTCCCGGGATCTCTGTCATAGCTGACTCCCTGTCCCAACCTGACAAACCATCTCCCACAGAATGGTGACTACATCCAAGGATATTCCAGTGGATTTGCCAGTTATTTCCGTCCCCAAACCACAACTTCTTCACAACTCGCTTCATCACTCAGCTATCCCGGTTCATATCCCAGATCCTCTAGCCTGGGACAACGATGCGTTAGCTTACACCTTTCCCAAACCGGCATTCTACCTTGGGTTCTACAGAAGATAGCGTCAACCAATCACCGCACACTGCTTTTGGTCACGCCCTCCTGGCCAACACAAAATTGGTTCACAATGCTTATGCACCTCACAGACAGAAGATTTTACTATCTACCTCTTAGAGTTGATTGTCTTCTTCATCCTCACTCTCAGTTGCTTCATCCATCTCCAGCAACCCTCAATCTATGCATCTGGTGCATTTACAGAAGTCATTTGTAGCCAAGGATTACTCTACACGAGTGGCCAAGACCATCACAGATCATCAACAAAAGCACTTTACGACCATAAATGGAAGGCATTTGAGGCCTACTGTCAATTGCATGACACATCCACTTCTGCTACGGCCTCTCCACAACAAATTGCTGAATACCTTAATCATCTCTGATCATCTCGAAAGCTTAAGGGTTCTACCCTGGCTACATACCTGGCCACAATCAACTCAACTACAACGGGTGCAAAGATCTCTACAGATGATGGACTTCGATCACTGATTAGGTCTTACAATTTGGTGGACCAGTCATCACGGTTCCGACCACCAACCTGGGATCTTAACATCATACTTCGTCATCTAGATTCGGCCGATTATGAACCTCTGGCCAAAAGGATTATTATCCCCCTGCCCAACAAAGTTGGCGGGGGATATAGAAACGGGCTCCGTCTGTCCACCCGTCACGTTTCGTTTCCATGAGCATAATTCAAAAACCGTTCAATATTTTTTCATGAAACTTTGCAGGTCTGTCAAGTACATGCCGGACTGGTGCCTTTGGCTATTTAGAAATTCTAGAAATATTTATTTTTTTTTGTTTCCATGGCAGCAAGATGGACTTAGGTTCTGTGAGGGTAGGGTTTGTTTCCAGAGGATAACTCATAAACCGTTCAATATTTTTTCATGAAACTTTGCAGGTTTGTCCCACATGTGATGTCCATCCTAAACCCTGAAGATTACGAAGACGTATCATTGTGTAGGGTACGTGCACTTCGGATCTATCTGGAATCGATGAAAACGCTTCAACAATTACAGAAGAGACTATTAATCCTGCTCTCCATGGCAGCCACTACGATCTCGTACTACGATCTCATTTTTGATACGCTCAGTCATCCGCCGAGCTTACTTCTTTGCTGGCCTACCTGCTCAGGTCACATCCAACCCTCACAAGACCCTCACTGAGTCTCCGGTTGAAGGATGTAATCACTCGTCTGTAGAGACTTCGGTTTCCAGCTATGAAGTCGCCATTAGGTCGGCTGAACTCGGTGTCCCAGTCCCTTATCCCATGCACCTCTACCTTGGGTATGTGTGCCGGGTAGTGGATTGATGATCCTTTTGTGGATGTTGTTGATCGTTCCTCTTCTCGCCTTAACCCATTGATATGTATGGGGGAATTAACTTAAGAAGCAGGAAATCATTTTTTGAGACACGTTTCCGCTTAGGACCAAAAGAAGAAAGAGAAATGCACCAATTTTTGCATTGTGTTATTCAGATTCAGAACCAAGATATGGTTGCTAGTGTGTCGAGGATGTTTATCATGATACCCTGAAGATATAAGGGTATTGCACTGGATAAGTAAGGATGGTCCACACTCTGATTTTCATTTTTCTTGACAGGACTTCTTGCTGAGCAAGTACAGCGTGATCATTGTAGACGAGGCCCACGAGAGGAGTGTATTCACAGACATACTGATTGGCTTACTGTCAAGGATAGTCCCCCTCAGAGAGAAGGTAATTGGCTGTATGTCACCTAAATCACAGTGCAACTCATTCAATCTACAAATTACTAATTAGAAAGTATTTCTGCCTATCTTACAGTTGACTGATCAGACCTCAGCTGAAGGGTCTGTGCTTGTTCCATTCAGTGTCAACATGTTGTAATTCCTCTGTGAATATGAATAACTGTCCCACTTTGAATGTGTATTGCTTGGTTATTAAACAGACATATCTGCAATCCAAGTTATTCTGGGTTATCAGTCTATCAGTAATATACACAGTCTATCAGCTACCATCAAGTCATTATACTCAGGAGCAGTAGATGTTTCTTTCATCTTTTTCTCACTAATCTTGTGTAGTGCAGGTTTCACATCCTCCTCAACAACCCTTGAATCCCTCCTCCCTCCCACCCTCCCTCCCTCCCTCCTCAACTGCCTAGGGAGATGTCAGTGTATTGCTCTCACACCCCTCCCACTGTGGTGTTGTACATATTGCAGGACCCCACCCTCGACACCCACTCTGTATGCTGCCTCATTAGCCAGCTGGGAGTATGTAACTTAGTCTGTCATACAGACCCTGAAACAAGTATATCCAATACAGCCCATGCAAGTCTATAATGTTTGGCAAGTCTTTGGCAACTGTTTTTTCTGTAAAATATGTTCATTTCAGAAACTAGATGTTAATCTATTCAGTAAACACATGTAGGCCAGCTGACATAATCTTCCAGACATGTTATCTTGATTATGAAATCTTTTTGACATATTAAACATTTAACACTATGATAAAATTTAAGTACTGTTAAAAGCAATGTTAATGTAAACTCACTCTAACAATAATTGTTGACATCCTCACCCCTTAAAAATGTCATTGACTGATGACGAGCTGTGGTGCTGTTGTAGATATGTGTCACACAGACATGCTATGGCTGGAGGTTGGTGATGTAGATATGTGTCACACAGACATGCTATGGCTGGAGGTTGGTGATGTAGATATGTGTCACACAGACATGCTATGGCTGGAGGTTGGTGATGTAGATATGTGTCACACAGACATGCTATGGCTGGAGGTTGGTGATGTAGATATGTGTCACACAGACATGCTATGGCTGGAGGTTGGTGATGTAGATAGGTGTCACACAGACATGCTATGGCTGGAGGTTGGTGATGTAGATAGGTGTCACACAGACATGCTATGGCTGGAGGTTGGTGATGTAGATATGTGTCACACAGACATGCTATGGCTGGAGGTTGGTGATGTAGATATGTGTCACACAGACATGCTATGGCTGGAGGTTGGTGATGTAGATATGTGTCACACAGACATGCTATGGCTGGAGGTTGGTGATGTAGATATGTGTCACACAGACATGCTATGGCTGGAGGTTGGTGATGTAGATATGTGTCACACAGACATGCTATGGCTGGAGGTTGGTGATGTAGATATGTGTCACACAGACATGCTATGGCTGGAGGTTGGTGATGTAGATATGTGTCACACAGACATGCTATGGCTGGAGGTTGGTGATGTAGATATGTGTCACACAGACATGCTATGGCTGGAGGTTGGTGATGTAGATATGTGTCACACAGACATGCTATGGCTGGAGGTTGGTGATGTAGATATGTGTCACACAGACATGCTATGGCTGGAGGTTGGTGATGTAGGATGTAGGATCTGCTGCATGTTCTGTGGATGACAGATGTGTGATTGTCTCCTGATTTCAGAGAGGGAAGCCGCTTAAGCTGATCATCATGTCCGCCACTCTGCGTGTTGAGGACTTCACAGAAAACAAACAGCTGTTCAAGGTCACACCACCAGTCATCAAGGTAGAAAACTACAGCTTAAGAATGATTCACTTATCTGATGAACATATTTAGTTAACAAGAGTTTGAAGCTAATGTTAACAGGGCTGTTGTCCAGTTTTGACTCACAGGATCTACATCATTTAAAACATATGCAAAAACATTTAGAAATTGTTTGGAAAGGGATAATATGTGTTCATACCAATCAGAATAATTAGAATTTGCTTATTTCAATGCTCACATATTTCGGACTTAGGTAAGGCTAAATGTATCATAAAGTATGGTTTTATAGGTTTCAAGAAGAGTTAGTGCAACAATTGAAAATGTGCAAGTTTTTGGCAGAATCTTATTTTGTTTGGAAATGTAGATGAAGACAGCACAAACATATTGTGAGAAATCTAGTTATCAGCCATGTCAGACATATTTTAATATGTCCAACAATTTGTATACCAATATTTCAAAGTTTTCTGTAATTTGTTTACATTTTCAGTGGTCCAAACAGGACCCTTACGCTTCCTAGCCATTTTTTCAACAGTTTCAGTGCTCCTACCAGTTGTTGATTGGCTGCAGTTATCTTAAATGTTGACTGAACCAAAATGAATGTGAAATTACAAGTGGATAGTTTCCTGTTTTCATCTCAATGCACCTTCCTAGAATTGTAGGATGGATCTATGTTTGATGGTCATGTCTAAGGGGATGGCACACAAGTGAGGGAATCACACATATCCTTTTGTTATTTTGCCCAGGTTGAGTCGAGACAGTTTCCTGTGACAATACACTTCAACAAACGGACACCACTAGATGACTACCTGGCGGATGCATACAGGAAGGTAGGTGACCCCAGGGGAAAGCAGGAATCAAGAAATAATAACAATCTGGAGTGTAGGACATGTTGTGGAAATAGTGGTTTAATGACTGTTAACATGAGAAAATCTTGAGAAGAAAACTCATTGACTGATAAATTCATGTGAGTATGATGATACCTTAAATTATTCTTCTTCAATTTGAGTGTTGTTTTTCAAGTCAAGTGCTAATTAGGTTTGACTACAATTTAATTAGTTTCTTTAATGCATTGGTCTGCATTGTTCAAGGCATTGTTGGTCGTCTGTAATGACAGACATCTAAGTCTAACATTAACCTCCTTGGTCGTCTGTAATGACAGGCATCTAAGTCTAACATTAACCTCCTTGGTCGTCTGTAATGACAAGCATCTAAGTCTAACATTGACCTCCCTGGTCGTCTGTAATGACAAGCATCTAAGTCTAACATTGACCTCCCTGGTCGTCTGTAATGACAAGCATCTAAGTCTAACATTGACCTCCTTGGTTGTCTGTAATGACAGGCATCTAAGTCTAACATTGACCTCCTTGGTTTTCCATGATGACAGGCATCTAAGTCTAACATTGACCTCCTTGGTTATCTGTAATGACAAGCATCTAAGTCTAACATTAACCTCCTTGGTTGTCTGTGATGACAGGCATCTAAGTCTAACATTGACCTCCTTGGTTGTCTGTAATGACAAGCATCTAAGTCTAACATTAACCTCCTTTGTCGTCTGTAATGACAGGCATCTAAGTCTAACATTGACCTCCTTGGTCGTCTGTAATGACAGGCATCTAAGTCTAACATTGACCTCCTTGGTTGTCTGCAATGACAAGCATCTAAGTCTAACATTAACCTCCTTGGTCGTCTGTAATGACAGGCATCTAAGTCTAACATTGACCTCCTTGGTTGTCTGTAATGACAGGCATCTAAGTCTAACATTAACCTCCTTGGTTGTCTGTAATGACAGGCATCTAAGTCTAACATTGACCTCCTTGGTTGTCTGTAATGACAGGCATCTAAGTCTAACATTAACCTCCTTGGTTGTCTGTAATGACAGGCATCTAAGTCTAACATTGACCTCCTTGGTTGTCTGTAATGACAGGCATCTAAGTCTAACATTGACCTCCCTGGTCGTCTGTGATGACAGGCATCTAAGTCTAACATTAACCTCCTTGGTTGTCTGTGATGACAAGCATCTAAGTCTAACATTAACCTCCTTGGTTGTCTGTAATGACAAGCATCTAAGTCTAACATTAACCTCCTTGGTCGTCTGTAATGACAGACATCTAAGTCTAACATTAACCTCCTTGGTTGTCTGTGATGACAAGCATCTAAGTCTAACATTAACCTCCTTGGTTGTCTGTAATGACAGGCATCAAAGTCTAACATTGACCTCCTTGGTTGTCTGTAATGACAGGCATCTAAGTCTAACATTAACCTCCTTGGTTGTCTGTAATGACAAGCATCTAAGTCTAACATTAACCTCCTTGGTCGTCTGTAATGACAAGCATCTAAGTCTAACATTGACCTCCTTGGTTGTCTGTAATGACAGGCATCTAAGTCTAACATTGACCTCCTTGGTTGTCTGTAATGACAGGCATCTAAGTCTAACATTAACCTCCTTGGTCGTCTGTAATGACAAGCATCTAAGTCTAACATTGACCTCCTTGGTTGTCTGTAATGACAGGCATCTAAGTCTAACATTGACCTCCTTGGTTGTCTGTAATGACAGGCATCTAAGTCTAACATTGACCTCCTTGGTTGTCTGTAATGACAGACATCTAAGTCTAACATTGACCTCCTTGGTTGTCTGTAATGACAGGCATCTAAGTCTAACATTGACCTCCCTGGTCGTCTGTAATGACAGGCATCTAAGTCTAACATTAACCTCCTTGGTTGTCTGTGATGACAAGCATCTAAGTCTAACATTAACCTCCTTGGTTGTCTGTAATGACAAGCATCTAAGTCTAACATTGACCTCCCTGGTCGTATGTAATGACAGGCATCTAAGTTTAACATTGACCCCCCTGGTCGTCTGTAATGACAAGCATCTAAGTCTAACATTAACCTCCTTGGTTGTCTGTGATGACAAGCATCTAAGTCTAACATTAACCTCCCTGGTCGTCTGTGATGACAAGCATCTAAGTCTAACATTAACCTCCTTGGTCGTCTGTAATGACAAGCATCTAAGTCTAACATTGACCTCCTTGGTTGTCTGTAATGACAAGCATCTAAATCTCACATTTACCTCCTTGGTCGTCTGTAATGACAGGCATCTTAGTCTAACATTGACCTCCCTGGTCGTCTGTGATGACAGGCATCTAAGTCTAACATTGACCTCCTTGGTTGCCTGTAATGACAGGCATCTAAGTCTAACATTAACCTCCTTGGTTGTCTGTGATGACAAGCATCTAAGTCTAACATTAACCTCCTTGGTCATCTGTAATGACAGGCATCTAAGTCTAACATTGACCTCCTTGGTTGTCTGTAATGACAGGCATCTAAGTCTAACATTAACCTCCTTGGTCATCTGTAATGACAGGCATCTAAGTCTAACATTAACCTCCTTGGTTGTCTGTAATGACAGGCATCTAAGTCTAACATTAACCTCCTTGGTTGTCTGTAATGACAGGCATCTAAGTCTAACATTAACCTCCTTGGTTGTCTGTAATGACAGGCATCTAAGTCTAACATTAACCTCCTTGGTCATCTGTAATGACAGGCATCTAAGTCTAACATTAACCTCCTTGGTTGTCTGTAATGACAGGCATCTAAGTCTAACATTGACCTCCCTGGTCGTCTGTGATGACAAGCATCTAAGTCTAACATTAACCTCCTTGGTTGTCTGTAATGACAAGCATCTAAGTCTAACATTAACCTCCTTGGTTGTCTGTAATGACAGGCATCTAAGTCTAACATTAACCTCCTTGGTTGTCTGTAATGACAAGCATCCTAGTCTAACATTGACCTCCTTGGTTATCTGTAATGACAAGCATCTAAGTCTAACATTAACCTCCTTGGTTGTCTGTAATGACAGGCATCTAAGTCTAACATTAACCTCCTTGGTCGTCTGTAATGACAGGCATCTAAGTCTAACATTAACCTCCTTGGTTGTCTGTAATGACAAGCATCTAAGTCTAACATTAACCTCCTTGGTTGTCTGTAATGACTGGCAACAGGTTTGTGGTCATGATTTACCTTGTTGGGATCTTGTGACTGAACTTTGTTTGTTGCCAGGTATGCAAGATTCACCGGCAGCTGCCAAGTGGAGGTATTCTGGTGTTTGTGACCGGCCAACAAGAAGTGCATACATTGTGCAAAAAGCTCCGCAACATTTTTCCTTATAAGGCTGGAGAAGGTGAGAATTTGAATGCCATCAAACTGATGTAGTTGTTTAGATCCTGTAGATAGAATTTTGAGGAAGGCCTCTCAGTGTGTACATATAAGTGCTGGGGTTAGTGACATGACAAGGAACGTGTTTATGAGGATGCCAGTCATGATGGGAGCACGACTTAAGTTCAACTTTACAACAGAGCAGTGTACAACATAACGTGTTATAACTACGATGACCATACAATGCAAGTATTCTTTCAAAATACCTTTGCCTTTGTTTTAAACTGCTCTCCAGCAATATCCTGGCTGGTGGACACCAGAAATGGGCTTCACACACTGTACCCATGTTCTATGTGATGCTTAACACTGCACTCAGCTGTATGATGGAGGTCTGTAAATAATCAAGTCTGGACCAGACAGTCCAGTGACTGATATGAGCATCAATCCATGCAATTGGGATACGATTATATGCATCAACCAAGTCAAGAGAGACTTCCAGACCTCTCTTAGAGACACTTCCAGACCCCTCTGAGAGACACTTCCAGACCTCTCTAAAAGACACTTCCAGACCTCTCTAAGAGACACTTCCAGAGTTCTCCAGCGATTCCCAAGACTTCATGAAATGCAGTTGGGCCAGCATGACATCCATATTGAAAAACCTCTTCATGACCTTTTCTCAGTTATTTTACAACTAAATGTAATGACATTTAGTACATGTGTAGTTAGTAGCAGGTCTCTATATATCTTCTTTTTGATTTTTTAAATATTGACATTTTACCAAAGTGGTAAACGTAGACCTGCATCACTTCAGGCTTTCATCCCAAATTTAGATGACATGCTGTGATATAACTAAAATACTGTCGAAAGTGCTTACCCACTCTTTCTTGCAGATTAAGAAACTATTGGATAGATAGTTAGTGTTTCATACATGTTAATAGTTTTGTCCTCAGTATTTATACAGAAAGTATTTGAGTATCAATGCTGAGAGGAAATTTACGTGGCTGTCTTTATTGACTACATATCAGGTGAGCTATAATGCCATGGCACTATTTTGTGCAGTTCGCATAATGTTTTGTTATCAGCTGTAAGCTGTAGTCTGGGAAATATATTGAGATTATAAACAGGTTATGCTTTGGTGTCAAGAATATCATACATTGGAAATAATAATTGTATTATGTGAGCCATTGGTAAGCATAAATTGCGAGTGACTATACAATGCCAGAGTGATCTGTACCACTTTTGATCATAATATAGTGACAAATGATTTTGCTGACAGAAACACACACACTTGGAGGACCCACTATCTAAACATTGTAGAAACAACAGCCTACTGAGCAAACGGGCCTAGGATTGTGGAAGCTTATTGGTTGTTTGCATCGATAACACTATTCAATAAACATTTAGGATATGCCATGCACAAATGTTGAGATTGGATGCAGAAAAAGAATGACACTGCATCCCAAGGGACCCACAATAATGTTCATTGTACCTATAGTACGTCAAGAGCAGTTACGGGTGTCTGTCATCTTATCCATCGATCATAACCACTGTCCACTTGATCATTGATTCATTCCAGGCTCTAAAATAGTCATATAAACGTACAGTACACTACACCATTATATTAGTCATATTGCCTGCAAGGACCCTTCAAATTAATTATTCGGGACCCCTGGACCCCCACTTTGGTAAGTCAAGGTAAAACCCTATGTATGCTTTCATAAAACAAATTGTGTAACATTGTTCAGCTGTTATGTTGCTTCTCTTGCAGCTGTGGAGAAAAAACCAACCAAAGCAGAACTTCGAAAGCAGAAGAAAGGACATAAGAAAAAGAAACAAAGAGTCAACCTGCCCAAAGTTAATCTGGACAAGTAAGCAACTCACATCCTCAAAGTATCAGTTATAACAGACAGAGAAACACTACCACAATACAATCTAAACATACCGGGGATTGCAGACAGGGAAACACCACCAGGCTACAATCTAAACATACCGGGTATTGCAGACAGGGAAACACCACCATAATACAATCTAAACATACCGGGGATTGCAGACAGAGAAACACCACCAGGCTACAATCTAAACATACCTCGTATTGCAGACAGAGAAACACCACCAGGATACAATCTAAACATACCGGGGATTGCAGACAGGGAAACACCACCAGGATACAATCTAAACATACCGGGGATTGCAGACAGGAGAACACCACCAGGATACAATCTAAACATACCGGGGATTGCAGAAAGAGAAACACCACCAGGCTACAATCTAAACATACCGGGGATTGCAGACAGAGAAACACCACCAGGCTACAATCTAAACATACCGGGCATTGCAGACAGGGAAACACCACCAGGATACAATCTAAACATACCGGGGATTGCAGACAGAGAAACACCACCAGGATACAATCTAAACATACCGGGGATTGCAGACAGAGAAACACCACCAGGATATCTAAACATACCGGGGATTGCAGACAGAGAAACATAACCAGGATACAATCTAAACATACCGGGTATTGCAGACAGAGAAACACCACCGGGCTACAATCTAAACATACTAGGGATTGCAGACAGAGAAACACCACCAGGCTACAATCTAAACATACCGGGGATTGCAGACAGAGAAACACAACCAGGATACAATCTAAACATACTAGGGATTGCAGACAGAGAAACACCACCAGGCTACAATCTAAACATACCGGGGATTGCAGACAGAGAAACACAACCAGGATACAATCTAAACATACCGGGGATTGCAGACAGAGAAACACCACCAGGATACAATCTAAGCATACCGGGGATTGCAGACAGAGAAACACCACCAGGATACAATCTAAACATACCGGGGATTGCAGACAGGGAAACACCACCAGGATACAATCTAAACATACCGGGTATTGCAGACAGAGAAACACCACCAGGCTACAATCTAAACATACCGGGGATTGCAGACAGAGAAACACCACCAGGATACAATCTAAACATACCTGGTATTGCAGACAAAGAAACACCACCAGGATACAATCTAAACATACCTGGTATTGCAGACAGAGAAACACCACCAGGATACAATCTAAACATACCTGGTATTGCAGACAGAGAAACACCACCAGGATACAATCTAAACATACCGGGGATTGCAGACAGAGAAACACCACCAGGATACAATCTAAACATACCGGGTATTGCAGACAGAGAAACACCACCAGGATACAATCTAAACATACCGGGGATTGCAGACAGAGAAACACAACCAGGATACAATCTAAACATACCTCGTATTGCAGACAGAGAAACACCACCAGGATACAATCTAAACATACCGGGGATTGCAGACAGAGAAACACCACCATAATACAATCTAAACACACCGTTGATCGCAGACAGAGAAACACCACCAGGATACAATCTAAACATACCGGGGATTGCAGACAGAGAAACACCACCATAGTACAATCTAAACACACCGTTGATCGCAGACAGAGAAACACCACCAGGATACAATCTAAACATACCGTTGATCGCAGACAGAGAAACACCACCATAATACAATCTAAACACACCGTTGATCGCAGACAGAGAAACACCACCAGGATACAATCTAAACATACCGGGGATTGCAGACAGAGAAACACAACCAGGATACAATCTAAACATACCGGGGATTGCAGACAGAGAAACACCACCAGGATACAATCTAAACATACCGGGGATTGCAGACAGAGAAACACCACCATAATACAATCTAAACATACCGGGCATTGCAGACAGAGAAACACCACCAGGATACAATCTAAACATACCGGGTATTGCAGACAGAGAACACCACCAGGATACAATCTAAACATACCGGGGATTGCAGACAGAGAAACACCACCAGGATACAATCTAAACATACCGGGGATTGCAGACAGGGAAACACCACCAGGATACAATCTAAACATACCGGGGATTGCAGACAGAGAAACACCACCAGGATACAATCTAAACATACCGGGGATTGCAGACAGAGAAACACCACCACGATACAATCTAAACATACCGGGGATTGCAGACAGAGAAACACCACCAGGATACAATCTAAACATACCGGGGATTGCAGACAGAGAAACACCACCAGGCTACAATCTAAACATACCGGGGATTGCAGACAGAGAAACACCACCAGGCTACAATCTAAACATACCGGGGATTGCAGACAGGGAAACACCACCGGGCTACAATCTAAACATACCGGGTATTGCAGACAGAGAAACACCACCAGGATACAATTTAAACATACCAGGGATTGCAGACAGAGAAACACCACCAGGATACAATCTAAACATACCGGGGATTGCAGACAGGGAAACACCACCGGGCTACAATCTAAACATACCGGGGATTGCAGACAGGGAAACACCACCGGGCTACAATCTAAACATACCGGGTATTGCAGACAGAGAAACACCACCAGGATACAATCTAAACATACCGGGGATTGCAGAAAGAGAAACACCATCAGGCTACAATCTAAACATACCGGGCATTGCAGACAGAGAAACACCACCAGGATACAATCTAAACATACCGGGGATTGCAGACAGGGAAACACCACCAGGATACAATCTAAATGTATCTGTTACTGCAGACAGGGAAACACCACCAGGATACAATCTAAATGTATCTGTTACTGCAGAGAGGGAAACACCACTGGGATACAATCTAAATGTATCAGTTACTGCAGAGAGGGAAACACCACCAGGATACAATCTAAATGTATCTGTTACTGCAGACAGGGAAACACCACTGGGATACAATCTAAATGTATCTGTTACTGCAGACAGGGAAACACCACTGGGATACAATCTAAATGTATCAGTTACTGCAGACAGGGAAACACCACTGGAATACAATCTAAATATATCTGTTACTGCAGACAGGGAAACACCACTGGGATACAATCTAAATGTATCTGTTACTGCAGACAGGGAAACACCACTGGGATACAATCTAAATGTATCTGTTACTGCAGACAGGGAAACACCACTGGGATACAATCTAAATGTATCTGTTACTGCAGACAGGGAAACACCACCAGGATACAATCTAAATGTATCAGTTACTGCAGAGAGGGAAACACCACTGGGATACAATCTAAATGTATCTGTTACTGCAGACAGGGAAACACCACTGGGATACAATCTAAATGTATCTGTTACTGCAGAGAGGGAAACACCACCAGGATACAATCTAAATGTATCTGTTACTGCAGACAGGGAAACACCACCAGGATACAATCTAAATGTATCAGTTACTGCAGAGAGGGAAACACCACCAGGATACAATCTAAATGTATCTGTTACTGCAGACAGGGAAACACCACTGGCATACAATCTAAATGTATCAGTTACTGCAGACAGGGAAACACCACTGGGATACAATCTAAATGTATCTGTTACTGCAGACAGGGAAACACCACTGGGATACAATCTAAATGTATCTGTTACTGCAGACAGGGAAACACCACTGGGATACAATCTAAATGTATCAGTTACTGCAGAGAGGGAAACACCACTGGGATACAATCTAAATGTATCAGTTACTGCAGACAGGGAAACACCACTGGAATACAATCTAAATGTATCTGTTACTGCAGACAGGGAAACACCACTGGGATACAATCTAAATGTATCTGTTACTGCAGACAGGGAAACACCACTGGGATACAATCTAAATGTATCTGTTACTGCAGACAGGGAAACACCTCTGGGATACAATCTAAATGTATCTGTTACTGCAGACAGGGAAACACCACTGGGATACAATCTAAATGTATCTGTTACTGCAGACAGGGAAACACCACTGGGATACAATCTAAATGTATCTGTTACTGCAGACAGGGAAACACCACTGGGATACAATCTAAATGTATCAGTTACTGCAGAGAGGGAAACACCACCAGGATACAATCTAAATGTATCTGTTACTGCAGAGAGGGAAACACCACTGGGATACAATCTAAATGTATCAGTTACTGCAGACAGGGAAACACCACTGGAATACAATCTAAATGTATCTGTTACTGCAGACAGGGAAACACCACTGGGATACAATCTAAATGTATCAGTTACTGCAGACAGGGAAACACCACTGGGATACAATCTAAATGTATCAGTTACTGCAGAGAGGGAAACACCACCAGGATACAATCTAAATGTATCAGTTACTGCAGACAGGGAAACACCACTGGGATACAATCTAAATGTATCTGTTACTGCAGACAGGGAAACACCACTGGGATACAATCTAAATGTATCTGTTACTGCAGAGAGGGAAACACCACTGGAATACAATCTAAATGTATCTGTTACTGCAGAGAGGGAAACACCACTGGAATACAATCTAAATGTATCTGTTACTGCAGAGAGGGAATCACCACTGGGATACAATCTAAATGTATCTGTTACTGCAGACAGGGAAACACCACTGGGATACAATCTAAATGTATCTGTTACTGCAGACAGGGAAACACCACCAGGATACAATCTAAATGTATCAGTTACTGCAGAGAGGGAAACACCACTGGGATACAATCTAAATGTATCTGTTACTGCAGACAGGGAAACACCACTGGGATACAATCTAAATATATCTGTTACTGCAGACAGGGAAACACCACCAGGATACAATCTAAATGTATCAGTTACTGCAGAGAGGGAAACACCACTGGGATACAATCTAAATGTATCAGTTATTGCAGACAGGGAAACACCACTGGGATACAATCTAAATGTATCTGTTACTGCAGACAGGGAAACACCACTGGGATACAATCTAAATGTATCTGTTACTGCAGACAGGGAAACACCACTGGAATA